CTCCATCGTAACACTGTCCTCTCAGATTTCTTATACCTAAGTTATTGTCTATTAAAAACTTTAAAACAAAATCAAACAAAGTTTTAGAGTTTGTGTTTGGAGTATTAATAAAATTTTAAAAAAACTCGTTAATCATTAAATCGTCGTTAACTATCTGTAAACAAACAGAGACTTGTTTGAGTTTACTGGTGTCTGAAGCCTCGTCTATCATTATTGCATTATGTTGAGCTGACGAAATTTTGCAAAAAATTTTTGTTCTTCTTTCATCAGCAAATATAGCTGTAATTTCATCAACAACGAAATACTGCAGCCATTTATAGTCACTTCGATTCAACCAAACTTTCCAAACTTTTAAATTAACTTTCCACACAAAGGCAGACCTTATCTTGTTCAATACTAAATAGATGTGAAAATTATTCTTAGCACTGTACGATTATCCAACATTTCTTTTTGCTTAGCAGAATTCAAGTGCTCGACTACACTCTGTTTCTTCGACGAGATCAAATGAAATAAACATGCTCGATGGAGTGCAGTTTTTTCGTGAGATGAAAATAACAAGATAGCATCCTTATGTAAGGGAACCCATTGTCAACAAAATCTTTTTTAGGAACGCTGATCAATTTATCAGTAAATAGTGGTAGTTTTTTTTCAACAGCTTCAGTACAGACAGATCAGATGATTCGGTTTTTTGTTCCATCATAATCTACCCAATGAAACTTTTTTCTCTAAGATTCTAGACTCTTTGGTTTTGCTAAAAAAAGTTTGTTTTTTTTTTTTGTAAACTAAAACTTATTTGAAATGCCTTTTAAACATATTCGTGAGAAAAAAGAGTCCCTGTATCTGCCCGGTGTCATGTCCACGTACGTGATAATTTAGGATAAACGTGATATAACATGTCACATGTTACTTGTTAGCATACGCGAGAGATAAAAACCATCAGAAATCACTCCCTCGCATGCTTCACTCACTCCCTCGCGTTAAACAATAAACAGTACTATCAAGAACCGACATAATAATTTCCGATTGACTAAACGTAAAAACTGGGTGTTTCGCATACCTGTTTGCGTACGCTTTAAGGGGCGTCTACACAGTTTCTAAAAAAAAAGTCACATATATCAAGAAACTTATGTAAGTTACTGGTTTTGAGATTGTCTGCATCTGTAACTAGACTACTGGACGAAAATTGTAATTCTACTTCAATAGCAAGCACAGCAGGTGCAAGTATACTTAATGATTCAGCAGTTAAACGTTCTTGGGTCTTTGTTAAATGTTTCTTTCCTTTCACGAGCTACTTATCCACCCCTCTTTTTTTCCACACTTATTATTATGTTCTTCTTTTCTTCACTGTCACACTAAAAACACTTATATATGTATATTAAGTCACTCTAACATTATAAAAATATGGAAATGGTAACATAGCTATACAAAATACAAAGTGAAATCACAAGAGGTAAGGTCAGACAATGTGGATAAATATAGGGATGGTGACCTAGCAAATTTTTCTAAGATAGTGCTAACGGTACTTTTTTCAAGTATAGGGGCAGCAGGACCGCTATGGTCATGTGGTGCGAGCACAACTGAATTTCGAGCAGGTATGGAATTCTTGAATTTTACCCTGGATCCCCAAAAAAAACGAGTACCACGGAAAAACAGGCGTTCGGAACGTCAACGTCTCCGCTGGAATACCAAGAAACGTTTTTAGCCAGAGCATAACCTGCTCCAGCACTTCGGAGCTTTGTGGCCATTCAACCATCCGATCTGGTGCCGTCAGAAGATTTTCTACTTCAAATGTGAGCCAGGGAAGACAGCCCTGAAGAGTACGGGTAGCCACAACGGCCTTCTTAGTAGCCATCCCAACCGCTTATCTATAGAGAAGGTATTCTCCAGGCCCACTTTCCTGACTACCGACGAATGGTTAGTTGTACGGGAAACGATCTGGAGACAAGATATTCTTTGGTCAGCGGCGTACTTTCCTTCCTGTACAATCTCCATACACAGAGACTCGATGAATAAGTGCCAAGCTACCTGCAACTGGCTCTTCATCATCAAGAATAATAATAAGGAATAGCTACAAGTTTCACCACCAACCCTTTTCAGGGCCATTGTAAGTATTTACGTTCCCCACTCAACCATCAATCTCATCGGTTCTTTCAAGGGCCACCTGAGTTTAAATTACCTTGCCAACTGATACATTTTTACGACAATTTTCGGAGACAATTCGTCAACTCAAAGACTATGTAAGGTCGGCTACTGTTAAACCAAGTCAGTCATTCACTGGCAGACGTTACGAGCAGAGTTGTTCGTCACAAGGCTGAGAATCACGGTGACCAAGGCCCTATATTACTCTCTTAACTTTAAGCATTCAACCAGAAATCACCGATCCACTCCAAAGTCTGCACTGGAAGAACCTAACAGCTATGAAAAAGAAAAATAAACGTGAGCCAACGGGACAGTTACCAACGGGCAAGCATCACGAATCAACCTTTCCACCTTAGATCACCAAAACAACTGAGTCTGAAAAAAAAGGTGCTTTAGACACTGTCTTCGACATTATACCAGGAGACGTCGGGAAAGAGCTTTACAACTAGATCCAAAGCTTCAAACCCTTAGGTATCCAGGCTGTTACATTTGCTGGAAACTTCAGTCAAGAAAGACTTTACTTAAGAAGCTCACGGTCCTTTTCAGGTTCATCGAACCTCAAACTACCTTGCCAACAATTATATTGCAATCTTAAAAAGTTGAAAAAAATAGCTTTTAGGGCTCACAAGAGTCTTAACTATGCATAAAGTCACAAAAAGTCGAATTAGAAAAAAAAAACTTTAAATTTATCTTATGAATACAATCTTAGGCATCAAGAAAATGACGAAAGAATTTATAAAGTGAGAGATCAAATTTTTACTATGACTCTCATAGTCATCTCTTGAATCTTTCAGATTTTTTAATAGGTAGAATATGTATTAGTATTTTTTGTTGCGATAAATAACGTAGAGATAAAGCTCCAGTACTCTATTGCTCTGGTAATGAAGTTGTGAGATAAGAGAAAAAAATTTTTTAATGATAAATTTTTTGTGAGCTTTGAATCTTAACAGCTTTGAAAAAAAGCCCTCTTAATAGATTGAACGAGAGAAACTGCAAATCAACAGCCTTCGAAGGTCGACGATTATTTTATAATATAAAGAATGCACGGTACTTTTCAACACAATTTTTTTTTTTTCATTTTTACAGCTTTTACTTGACGAAATAAATTGTATACATTCCGGACAAATATTTTTTTAATAAGAAGATTTTTGTTCTGAGAAATGTCAGAACTAGATGTATAATTTTTCACTGAAAATGTTTCACATTATATGTCGACACACTACGGTGTTCCATTTAGTGAGTCTCGGGCGAAGCCGAGACGGGGGG